TCATGAATGTCTAAGAGGCTGAGGATTATAATTCAGTGTGCACACACACCTTCTTATCATGCTAGAAGCATTGGGGGAAAAAACATGGCATATTGTGAAATGTAACTTGTAGAAAGATAGAGACATTTTTGTATGCTGCAAAGAAGATATAACCTAAAAGTGCCATCTTTCATTAATGACATTTAAGAATCCCAATTTATATTGGGAAATATTAAAGAGTGGTGTTTTCTCAACATACTAATGCCCTTAATACAGTTACAAGAAGAATCAGCCACTGAAGCAGTAACTGTTTGAAATGTACTTCACACGATCCCTGGGGTAAACAGAATAAACCTCAGCTGTGTGCAAGGCTGTGTCAATAAGCCAAGACCACATCTAGCAGCACACTTAACTAGATGATTCCAATTGAAGCCTCCAACTTAAAAAGAAAATAAAATCATGATTAGATGCATTCTTGAAATTCAGGTCTCAAGGCCAAATACAGATCCTGACATTCACGGTACATAACTGGGTTATGCCTCAACAGAATTTCAGGAAGACTAGCAAGCACATTTGAAGAACAGAATTGCATTTGCTATTTCTGCTGAAGGCAACTTGTATACAACCCTTTGAAATTCTCCTGCTAAAGCCTTTTAGAGCTTTAAAAAAACAGCTATGTTTAAATGATTTATGGAAGAGAAAAGCACATCCAGTCTTCATATTTTGTGAATAAGCTAACTGTTTTATTAATGAAGGCAAATATCAGATAAATATTTGGGGGGGATATTTTTAAAATAAAATAAAAACTGACACCACTGTATTCCAGAAGTGTCTGGTTGCTTTTAGGTTAGTTAAAAGACCCTTCATCCATTTTAGGTTTTTTAATTTTGTTTGCTTGTTTGTTTAAAAAAAACCCACAAACTTTTTCCTGGTCCTCTTAGTATGGAAAAAAGTCTGTCTATAAAGAATTAAGAACTGAACACAGCTGACCCTGACTCTCACATCAGCTTTACAGCAATGCAACTTCATTAAATCACAATGATTTCAACTGGTACGATAAGAAAATCCAGCCCATCCACACGTAAACATAGCTTTAGTAGTAAGTCTCTCTCATCCAAAAAAAAAAAAAGTACTCACCAAGTATCAGTAAATGTGTTCAATAAACCATAAAAGGAAGCATTAGCAAAAGGGGTTTAGGGCTAAAAAACACCCTTCGTGAGCACCCCCACATTTTGCAAGGCCATTCAAAAACTGGTCTTCCATATAAATACAAAAGTACTACTATTGAGAGAAACTGAAATCAGATCTATCCAGACGTTCTTCAGGATGCTTTTATCAGTTCTGATTCAATTTCAGAAGGGTTAGGTTTGAAGAGTTCAGAGGGAATGAAAAACATTTAGTTCTAGATGTACAAGTAAGGCACAATATAAAGCCACATCATCATCTGTCATGAAGGAAGTAGGAAAGGACGAGAATCATACATGGTACAGTAGAACAAGCAGTCCATCAATTCAAAGTGTGGCACCTAAGTTCAGACTGACGAGATCTCAACAAGAGCAGTTATGACAGCATGCTTTTAATATGGAAACAAATTCTAGAGAATCCAGTGTATCAGAAAAAGGAAGAGTTTTTGCTTGTATTAAATCAAAAATATATAATTGTTTTTGGATATAGGATTAAAAGTGAATATTCACAATGCCTACACTCAAAAACAAACAAAAAAATCCAGGACTTCATTAAGATCCACATACCATGTATGAACACTGAAAATCTTTAGAAAATGGTCTTCTCTAAAGATCATCCAAAAATGCATGCCACAGTTGCAAAAAACAGAACATGTACATTTGTTGGTTTTTATACCCTTATAAGATTTTTTGTTTGTGATAAGTATACACTAAATGTATATATTTTAATGACACTAGAGGAAGCAGATTGTTACTGGCATTAAAGTACAACCATTTCTAGACGGTTTAAATGCCACAGAGTCCCCTGGTTAAAATGTAAAGCTGCACAGCTTGCCTATGTCACCTTTATTTTAAAGTTAAACCAGCAAAAGGTCTTATCTTTACTCTACATTTTACTGCCAGGTTTATTTATATCAAGTATCGCTGCAGCATTCTGACCAGCCCAGAGTTAGCAGCAAGTGGCAGGAATCATATAAAACGCAGTTTCTTTTTTTTTTTTTTTTTAAACAAAGTGCTTTTCTAAGATATACATACATATAAATAGGTACAAAATAAAGTGTCAACATTAAAAAGCTCAACTATTTAAAAGCTTTAACTTAAAATAATACATAGAAAACACTGAAATGCAAGGGTATGGAATTCACTAAAGATTCAAAGTCTACTTTGAAATGCTAGACCAAAATCATATTCTGGTTTTCAGACAAAAATAAAAAGCTATAAAGTTACATTTGCCCAGTATTTCTGAGCAATTAAAAAGGGGCTTTTTAATACCATGTCAGTTTAATTTGTCACAGAAGTTTTTACCTGATTGCAAAACTGCTCTCAATGTTTAGAAATGCTGCCTTGTCTACACAGTTTGGACATAGCATAAGGATCTCTCGTATCTGAGCAGTGTGTTAACACCATTCATCAGAAAGGAACAACAGTATTCAAATCTCGGTACAGACATGGCCTTAACTTCACAAGAGACATTCTCTGTCGGCGTTTGATGGGCCATATGCATCTCCGGAATAACTGCAACATCGGCAATAATTACAATAGGAATACATCTGACCCACTGTATAAAGCAGCAGCCAACTCTTACCTCACCCTAACAACAACACCACCTGAAACAAAAACACCCACATTCCACTCAGATTTTGAAAGTCTTAAGTGGATTTACAAAGTTTTGCCTAAATTGCCCTGGGTATTTGTTCAGTCTCTTGTAGGAAAGACTTTCTGTACAGCGCAGTAGTGGTATTTTGGCCTCCTCCTCCCTTCTGAGTCTTCCAAAATATTTAGATACAAAGTAAGCTGTGTGCACACTCACAAGTATGTGGCAGGACTGCCACCTTCATCGGCCACTCTTACTGCACTATTACTGATTCAGACTTTTTTTTATACTACAAGCTTGGATATAAAAATAAACTACTTATAAACAAAAAGGAATCACAGTACAAACAAACTTAGACAAACTAGAAATGAAGTGGAGAAATTCCCCAAAGGGAGTGGGGGAGAAAGCCTTCATGGACTTTTGCATTTTTTTTTTCAGCAGCTACATTTGAAAATATTTGGTATTTCTATTTTCAGTAAACAGTGTTTTGTCATCTTTAAATAGGGAGAGAAAGAACAGGGAGGAAAGAGGGTGGGGGGAGGTCCATGAAACCAGAGAATGATCTTGCCTTGAGATAAAGGACTTTCTCATCAAAGGCTAAAGCTTTTAATCTGTACGTTAACACTGACTACAAAGCCAACTCTTATTAGCAGAAGAGCAAATAAGAACTGTGTGTTAATATTCATCAATCATAGAAACTACTGAATTAACAAGAATAAGTCACATATAAGTTCGAAGAAGCTAGTTTCGAAATACCTGTACAAAAATATAAAAGTCTATAAATTTTTTTTGTTGTTTTGTTTGAAGCCTGTGTTGATCCTTGGAAACATCACATGCATAATAATACATCAACTGGAAAAGTGGCAACTAAGGAATTAGATATTTGTAGCTCTTTTTACTCTTTACATATATACACATTACAATAAAAATAATTTTATTTTGGTTGTTTGGTGGAAGTATACTACAACAAGCTAAATATTTTTTTTAAATTCTCAAAGTTGAAAACTATTTTACCAATAGCTTACTAAAATCCAAATATATTAAAATCTCCTACAGTAAGTGCAGAGAAAAAAGATTTAAAGACTCCGAGACGGCCACCAACTTATCTACCATGGAAGCGAACTACAAGAACAGCAAAATAATATTGTTATGTATGAATGCTCCTTCTGTAGATAATTGGACCCAAACAAAAAAATTCACAGTTCAGTAAGATCCCTAACCCTGACCTTTAATTTTTTTTCTTTTTTCTTTTTTTTTTTTACATTCAGTACAGTATCATATAAGCTGTGCAAAACTTTACTTAGACTGGCAGTTCGCCATATCAGTTGCATTTGTCTTTGGTACAAAAATAAACAATCGCATTAATGTGCAAGTATTTGTTTTCTTCCGGCCAAAGTACCGAAATTGAGTTTTCTAGAGCCATCTTTTATACAATACATAGACTCTGTGGCATATATCTACATTTTCAACATATTCCTATATACATTCAAAAATTTTAAGAGCTGGAACAAATACATTAAAACCTATAATCTTACCATCTATACATCTTGGTTTTTCCCCTCAGGGTTTTCTTCATACAAAACTTTACCAGCTTATACTGACAGCTCTCCCCCCAAAATACAAGGCACAAAGAATATACTTTTTTTTCTCTTGCTTGCACAGACATTTAAATACTATATTAAGCTCAGAAAATTAAAGTCTTATATGGCACACTAGCTCTAATGCCACGTGTGCTATGTACAGTTAATGGTTGCAAAGAAAGCTTACTGTTTTTTAAGAACAACAAAAGAAAATCCAATTATTTAAAAAAAACCCAAAACCCTTCCCTAAATTGACAGCTTTAGCAAAAAAATGCTTCCTCTTATTTTACTTGGAGCATAAACCTGTCACAATATGTCTGGCATATGCTAAATTTTTTTTACTAGCAAAAACATGTTTTTGCTTCTAAAACAAAAGTGATATATTCTGGTCCTAGGTAACTTAATTTTAAAAAGAATCCGCAGTATTTAAGTATTTAAACTTAAAGCAGCTTTGAAACTATCTGGTTTATGCTCCAAAAATGCTATGAAGCATTTGATATCATGCTTTGATTTGTTTTACTACATTGTTACTTAAAAACAATGGAACCTAATTGTAAGTGTTTACATAATGCTAAACTGACATGCAGACCAGAATGCAATTTACAATGAAGTACTTGACAACACAGGTAGAATCTGACTGATGAGAAAAGCTGAAGTCATGTATTAAACTTTTGACATTGGTATTCGCAACCCTACAAGGCCACCGGTGGGGTCTCCTTCTGCAGTCTTCTCTAAAACTTGATTCACAAATTCTGATGTCTGTCCAGCTACAGGTAGCCCTAAAAAGGGAGGGTAAGAAAACACGCTGTAAGGTTACTATTCGTTGCACAGATTTGTACTTTCCTACAAGTAATACAAAGCTCATGAACACTTTGGTTAGTAACCAACAAAAAGGCACAGAAAACTGAAATTAGGAAACGTGTCTGTCTTTTTCTTATTCCAGAAAGTGTTTGTAATCTAACTTATGATAAGTCCCTTCACATACATGCAAATACATTAAGTATATCGCTTACCAAGAGTGTCTTTAATAAGTACGTTCAACTTCTGTTCCATGTTGACCCCTCTATCATCTTTAGGTACCTGCACCCGATTAACTATTTCTTGTTTAATGGAATTGATCACAAACAGTAAGTTATCTGCAAAGAAAAAAAAATGGATTAGATTTACAGCACACTCCTCCTGGAGCAAGAGATCCACAGTTGTCCACACACTGTTATCTGCAAGTGTCAAAGGTGTCACATCACACTTACTGTAAAATTAAATGTAATCTTTTACATCTGTAAACATATTTTCAAAAATATTTACATTACATGCACACATTTACATAATTTACATCTGTAAAGTAGCTCAACACTGCAGGTAACCCAATTCACATACACTTTATGGAGTGGACTGTTTTTGTACCAAAAAAATTGGTACAAAAAGTTGTTGGGTTTGTACCAACCCTGTTTTCTCTATAAACTGCCAGGTATGACCCAGGTTACATGATGGTGCAAAACACAGACTTGTCTGAACAAAAGAAAAATTAAGATGTGAAGAGTTGTATTTACCATATTCCGTGTTGAGACCCCAGAGTTTTACTTTATTGGCTTCATACTGGGCTTTCTTTTTTAGTCTACAAGCCCTATAGTAAGAAGAGGGGAAGAATTAGAACACTAACAAAAATTCCAGAATACTAAGAGCATCTGTTTGTTTGCCACAGCAATTTATCAACCAATACTCTCGGAGCTGTGAAGTACAAAATCATCTATCTTCTCACTCACCTTCACTGGAAGCACTCTGCTAACCTCTCTCTGCTTACATTTCACACTCGTGGATTTCACCACTGTATCAATCATTTGCCCTGCAGCTAAACAAGCCGGCTTCCAAACTACATCTCCAAAGTGCCCGTTGCCCTGCTTTTTGACAAACTGTTAATTAGCCCATTGCAGGAACTGCCACGAGGAAGCAGGATCTCTGGAGGCAAAAATTAGTTAGATCTTAATCATACAGTTGTAGTAATCCAAATTTACTCATCCATGTAGCATTATCTAACACATACCTGGAAGCCAGCTTGTTCTTTTCTTTTCTTGACCTCGGTCTGGCAGTTAAGGGAAGTTCACTGACTGGCGTCAGGTCACTGATCACCTTATTCAGCTTCCTCAGTTCATTACCAATCTGTAGAAGTTTTCTGGGGTTGGGAGTCAGGTCTTCTACATCAGTCCTCCGTGACTTCTTTGCTGCATATTTTCCTGTTTAAAATATGCAGAAAATTGGGTTTGAAAGTGACACAATACCTATACAAACCTGCGAAAAAAAAATTCTTAAATATGTATTTTTTTGGCATGCAGTTTAAGTTCCTTTGTTCATTACAACAGAATGGACTGGAATCACGTGATCTCTATGGCTTTTCATAATAGAAACAGCATTTCCAGACAAACTGCTTTGTACAATTCATATTATATCCAGATCAGATAAGAGCAAATACCGCTGGCCAGGCTAATGGACGTGACAGACAGAATACACACAACTGTGCTGAAAAAACGTATGTCACAAGTTCAAGTCCAGTTGTTTTGCCCCAACTGTAACTTGCTAACTTACGTGTTCAGACAATATATTCTCTTGCACACACAAGTTTAATTACATTCCTAAATAATCTTATTGCTAAAGTTCTGTATTGAGGAAGAGTGTTGAGGCCTGGTACTGAAACAATCTTCAGTGATCTTGAGCTTAAATGATCTGCATAAAGGCTAGTAAACCCCTTTTATAGGTATTTGAAGCTATTTAAGGCCTGGCTTTCCTGAGGAAATATATTCAAGATAAAATCTTTACTCCTTATGATTCTCTGCCACTGTGTCTTTTTCTAGACTTCTATTAAAAATGGTGGTTGTTACAGACACTTGCATGAAAAATGCTAATAAAACTAGCAAAACCTGTTCCAGAAATATTTATTAGAGAGTTTATAACTTACCATGATTTATCTGAGGTAATAGGCGACCTTGGTACATGTCTGTACATGAAAATAAAAAAGTCCTGCATGTGTTTTATTCTGTAGCTTCTGGATGTTAAGTAGTGTTTGATCCTACAAGTCCCTCGCATATGCACCTGACTTAAAGGTCACTTGCTCCGCCAAGTGTCTGGTGGGACTGAGTTCTCAAGGCACATTTGGTTATTTGTTGTTTAATAACAAGTATAGATATAAGCCTTCATAAGAAGGAACAGCGATAGGGACTTTAGGTGCTGATATTTCACTACAAAAGTAAATCTACAAGTAACAACAACAACATCCTTCAGTTTAATAGAAGATAAACTGCCATGTTAAAGATAGTAATTTTCAACTGTAAGGTAATGCTAACATTACAATCAGGGAAGATGGTTTCATTTTCTCCTTCAAAGCCAAAATCAAATGCAGCAGCCTACCAAAGAGGTCCTGTGACAAGAAAACAAACATTACTCCTAAGAGTGGTTTGTTCTGGGTGATGTTAGTCATGTGTGCAGTAGAGCAAATTGCTAATCAAAAACGCACGGGAATAAAACACAGTTATAGACCAATTGATTTAAGTTTCTAAGAGGGTATTTTAAAGAAATAGTTTATTCACAGAAGAGTAGCTGCTTCGCTGTGCTGCATTCACAGAGGTGGGAGAAACAAGTAGGGAGGTGCAAAAAGAGATCGTTACTCCTTATTGCTTGTCCTTTAGTTCATACTGCAGTTAAAATGAACTTTGCATCTCAGATCACTTCCAGCTTACTTCTAACACAAGCAAGACAAACTCACAGCTATGAGGAGCAAATATCAGTCAAGTGACCCACCCAATATGTTTACAGTATTGCACTGAGAAAATTTTGAACTCATGGGGTTTCCACTCTTGGAAGTTACAATTCTCAAGTCGTCCATGCTCCTCTGAAGAAACCACACTGAAAGTTACTACTGTATGTTCACTGTGCTTTTCTCAGACACTGTGCAGAACTCTGCTAATTGAGCAACAGACAGTGTTTTAATAATTTATTTTCATGGTCAAAACACAACTTCTCAGCACTGGCAAGTATGGGAGTTTGGCTACTGAAGATGTCAGAATAAAAGAAATTAACTTATAACTAGGACTCTGTTCCTACCATGATGGAGACCATTCTTCTGATACATGTTACTTGGTAACGTATCTCGATTCCACTCAGATGGCCTCAGCATTCTTTCTTGTTGTGATGGTGTTAGTTGCTCGCTGTACTCCCAGAAGTATCTTCGCTTGCCTCTTTTCCGAGAGGATATTGCAGTCATTTCTTTTAAATCCTCCACAGAATCATTTTCATACCCTAAAAGGATGCATTGCATTGTTTATATACTGTTGACAAAACTGTTTCTAGCCCTTTAACAGTGGACTGAGTATTCACGTTAAGAGCAAAACCACAGATGAGGCCTGTTTTACATTATTTAATAGACTTGGTTTTCAGTAGCAGCTACGGGGTACTTGCCTTAAATCCAGGGATAGACACTGAGCAGTGATGGTGCTTCATTAGTTGAAAAGACACAAATTATTTATACATTGAAAGCCCCTTTACGTTCTCTGACCCCTTAAGCTCTATTGCTCTTCTCCCCCCGCCAAGTCCCACTACTGTCAAGTACAGACAACAGCTGTTAGAGACTGTTCTTCCATCCTTACAATTTTCTCCATGAATTTGCAGAAACATAATGGTAACTCGCCTCCACATTTTAATTAATATCTAATCAAAAAGCATGGAAAGAGAAGCAGATAATAAAGATGGATTAGTAAAAGACTAATAAAGAAAACAAAATTGTTCAATCACGAATATTCTGAGTTGGAAGGGACACATTAGGATCATCCAGTTCAACTCTTGCTCTTCCTTGAGTTTGAATACCTTTGGGAAATAAATCAAACCACCAATCTATATTAGGCTAGAAGAAGGGGGCTCTGTTATCAGGACAATGACCTAAAGCCCATATGAAAAGACCATCTAAATTGAAGGGATCTGGACACAAGCTGTTCAATCTCTTCCTCACCTCTTTAGTGGGATGAAGAGAAATGATTCACAGTAAAGCTACACAATATTTTAGAGGTATACTATGATGCACTTGATATGATGGACTGTTCGTGAAGTACATGGAAACTGTAATGTCACTATCCACATTGCATAAATATTTATACCACAATTATGTAAACACAAACCACAGTTTTAAAATCCTACGTATGCTTTAGAAAATAAAGACAGCCTATACCAAGGTTAAAAAAAACACAAACCACTGCATTGCCTTTTGTACTAAAATGCTACATAATAGTTTAAATTTACTTAAAAAAGAATGCATTTCAAAACATCACATACACTGATGAAGCTTCAAGAAAAGCCTACCACTGAACAGACTGTAAGCTTAACAAGCCTTGACCCCATACGCTTCAGCTCTGCTTCATTTTTTTAACAGTAGCACAAACAACACTTTCTTCTTTTTAAAACAGACCATTCAATTAATCTGTTTGCACTTGGAAAACCAGTTGAAAGAGGAAAAACAAACTTTCTGGCTTTGGTCTGACTCTCACCTCATATCCCCAAGTATGAATAAAAGTTAGGTGCACAGAAGGATGAAATCAGTTCTAGAGTTCTGTTTCTAATCATTTCATCAACTCATTTACTTTGATTCTCTATTTTATTAAAAAGACAGTATTTTAAAAGACAAATCAAACAATAAAACATGCTTTATAAAACATTTTTCTTGTATAGCCAAAATGATTATGACAATTTACATTAAGTATAGTTTCAAATACCATATTTTTAACTGTACTTCCCTTTTACCCAAATGCCGTTTGACTTATCAAAATACTCTTAAAAAACCACTTACTTTCCATTTGAAATAACATGTCAAGCTATGTAACTCATTATATAGATATGTATAAATTTAGCCCATCTTCATGATAACACAGAATTAAACCAACTGATGAAAACAAATCTCTTTAAGAGCTGATGTGTACAAATGTAAAACAAGGTTAAAATCAAGACTTCCTGCTTGCTTATTTAAACTCTAATTAAGTTAGCAACCTAAATTATGTTGACTTAATGCATCCTGCCTTGCAACTCTAACATTGACCTGCTATCATTTTAAAATTACACACAATAATCTAGTGTGCAATGTCCTAACCTAGTCCATAACATACAGGAGTGCAACAAATTCATTTAGCTTTTCTGCACTGTATTCATCTTCCTTGAATTCTCCTTTTAGCAAAGATCATACAGCAGTCTCACTTTCTTTGGTGGGCTTCTAAGAAATCTGAAAGGGGTTTTGTATTTACCTTTCAAGCCTTTTGCAAGGTTTTAGGTTTAAATTCACCAGCATTAAGTAAAACAGAGAACAGGATAGGGATGACATCTGCATCTTACCAGATTAAAGGCAAAAATAGCCCCACCAAAACAAAACCAGAAAAACCTTTCTCTTTACCATTTAATCATGCTGACTTCCATCAAATCATTTACAAGTCGTTTTCCCCCAGCTGATGGTCCAGGTGCTTAGAATAGATGCAATGCAACCTATTTAAACAATCTCCACATCCTTACAAGCACTTTTCCCTTTCAGCTATTTCTTCTCCAATGCTACTGAAAACAGAATCAGTTGTTGCATCTCCCGTTTATGGAATCTCTTGACTACTTGATGGGAGAAGCAGTCATTTACAATTATGTCTATTAAATGAGCTAGGTAAAAAAAAGTTAAAGTGCTAGAAAAGGCCTGGGCTGATAATTCCCCCCATAAATTACAGTTGCAGGTGACCAAAATTGCTAAATCTGTATCATGGTGATAATAAAAAACATTGTTGCCCAAACTTTCCTGACAGCCAGTCATGTTTTTAGTTATTTCTCCAAGTTCCTGGAGTTCACTATATCTAAGTATTTCCTCAGACAACACAAATGCTTTAAGAAAGCATTTCATGCACTCCAAAAACATACACGAAGAATAAACAAAAGCAAACTGTGTATAAAATACATCAAAAGGGTCAGCAATAACTAGTAAGTTTTTTGTTCTTCCAGTAAATTACATCTTCACTCTAAATTTATCAACTGATTTTGGTTTCAGTACTACTATTTCAAGAAACTTTATCCATAGTATTTACATTTACTCTAAAGGTAAAAAAGCAACACAAAGTACAAGAGTGACATAATTAAGGAGACATTACCTTCTAATATAATCAAAAGGTATGGTGAAACTTTCAATATCACCATACTTGAGGTGAATGGCTTCATTCACTTAAAATTCTAGCAGGCTTGTATAAGCCAAGTTCCTCAGTTACTGTACGGCACGACATAGCTGTGCGACTGCTTGTCAGTAAAATTTGAACAAAGAGCAAATAGTTAATCTAATTCCACCAACTGAAATCCCAGCATTTTAATACAACATCTCTTTTTCAAAGTTACCAGGCTTTCTGTGCAACATGCCTCCGTGGGCTGCAAAGCACTGTGCAGTACAGCAATCATTACAGAGCTGTAATAGCTACTCAAAATTCCCTCCCAGAAATTAGAGGGAGTTCAATTCAGAAGGAGGGAGGAAAAGGTTTTAAAATGCTAATAAGAATGTCTTATGTGCACGTAAAAGTCACATAAAGGGTATAATGCTTAAGAAGTTTAATGTCAACTCAGGAAACCTACTTAGAAAATAATTTAATCTGAGTGTTCATTACGACAAACACTGACAAGCTTTAGGGAAGCTACTGTTTTTAAAAACGCAAAATTTCAACTGCTTTGCCCCCCAAGTTACATATTGCCGAAAGTCGGAATACCTTAATACTTATACTGCACTACAAAGCATTTATAAAATGTGAATATTATAATACTTTCTACAATGAAACTAATACTTGGTTACAGTCCTGTCCTTTTCCCTTCAGATTTTATTTTTACACAACGTTACCGCTTTGTTACCTTCTAGGTGAAGGTTAGTTCTTATTTCTGTTGTTAAGGCTCCATTTCTACATGCAGGAGAGAGGAATTCAGTATCCTTTGAAGACCCACTAAGTGTTACTGCTGAAAACCACCAAGAAACGCTTCTATTAGTTTCAGTGGTAGGTATTCTCTGGGTTCTTTAGAAAACTGTACCTACAGTAGGACTTAAGTAATTATGAAATTATTTCACTCAGGCTATGATTTCATACCAGCTATCAAGACACACAACTCTGGCTAAATTCAAAGCAGCAACCTACCGCAGCACTAGAAAGCTCTGCCATAAAACAAGACAACAACAATTGCAGGTAGTCCTCTACGACTTTAGGCTACAAGCTAGGTTTCCTGTATTCTCTGTTATTATTTTTGTTGCATGGCCACAGTTTATACAGTTTTCTCAAAACAGGGCAATAGAGACCTTGTACAGTTTTCATTAATTATATTTTGCAAAGCACTTAGAAAATCTGGGATGAAAGTTCATAGTTTACGATCAGTGGTGCACATCTGTGCCTATAAAGCATTCAAAAGCGTTCTTTCCCACTTGGCAGAGAAATCCATTAACCTCCATGTTAACAAAGCCAAACATTGCTGGTACCTGGTTCTGAGAAAGTGTCGCTGATGTCGTCATCTTTATCATCCTCATAATCTTCTTCCTCATCATCATTTTCAGACAGCTCATGCTCACTGCCGAATCCTTCATCATGGTCCTCATCTTCAATATCGTCCTCATCATCCTCATCTTCTTCAGGATCTCCTTTGGCTGACTGTTCACCCAAACTGTCTGTTACAAAAAGAGAATAGTTGTGCTCCTCTTTCTTCTGTGAAGAATCTGACACTGATGTGCTGGCAGAAAGACTGCTCTCCCCCACAATAAGCCCTGGGGTTTCCTGGGGTGGACTGAGAAGCAGTTCTTGAGTCTCTTTAAAAGGCAAAATAGGAGGCGTACTCTGACTATGCGTGGACTCTATTCCTTTTCTTTCTTGTTTCTTTGCTACAGCACCACAATAACAGGTGTTTTCCTTCGCTGCATCAGCATGTGTCTGGCTCAGCACTGGTCTGCTCTGTGGTAAAGGATTGATCTTTACTTTTGCCTTTTTAACATAGTCTTTACATTCAACATGAATGTTCACCTTTTCATTATTGTACACATTGGTCTTCACCATGATTTGTGTACTGGAAGCAGGCTGAGTTGCAGGTTTGCTTGCCTTCTGAACACAGTCCGACAAAGGTGCCTCAGCCTGAACGTTCTTGGAGGAACAGACTGGGGCTGCTGCTCTGGTTGCAATTTTTTTGCCAGGTAACAAAGAATTTAAGGGGTTTTGTTTTACACTAAAGAGCAAATCAGGGTAATAGAGTGAATCAGAAACAGGTTGGGAGTCCTCACTGTTAAGCTGAGCCAGTGTTGGTGTTTTGCTTATCACCTCTTCATCTTGGTATGGGCTTGAAAAATCATCAAGGCCCAGGTAATCCACCTCTTTTGTTCCCCAGATGTCACAGCTGGTTAATTTAGTGTACTTAGTTAAGTCTTCACAGTAGGTGTCCCACTGCTCCCACTTTGAGGTGAGAGCAGCTTCTTTGTCCAGGATGTCCGTAAAAGACTCCAAGTTCTCAAGGTCTTTGCAGTCCTCCATTGAAAGTAAGTTGTCTCTGGAGCTTTGCTGATAGTCCATTTCTCTGTCCTGTGCACAATAAGACAAGTAAAAAATTAATACAAGGAAAGTTATCAATCATCTCCATCCTCTACTTAATCTAGTATGGTAAGCTTAATTCCAGTGAAGTGTAAGAGAGCGATAGTATATGAAGATACCTCAACTTCCAACTAAAAGCTTCTTTTGAGCCTCAAAATGAAGTCCAGCTTCCATACTTCAGCAGCATATCTTTCTGTAGAGATTGCTAAAGATGTCAAGTCAAATGCTGCTGGATTCTTCTTCTGCTATTCCAAATTTATCTGGTCATCAGCAACTAGACTAGTACCAATATCCATGTATTTAAAATATGAGAGACATCACAGACAAGCTGTTCTAGCCTCTATTAACCTAGGTCAATCTCTGCTGTGTGCTTAACAGTATATACTCAAGTTTAGCAGTCCCTGGAAAACCTCATTCTAACACGATCAATTAATGACTACGACCTGCCTTTCTCTTTTGATGCAGGAAAAAAAAAAAAGAATGCTAGTATAAGTAGCTCATGAGTCAACTTTTATTTTGCTTCCCCTGCATTCACAGCTTGGGTGAAGTAGCATATAGCTGCTCTTGCAGAAAAGATTGTAAGGAAGAGTCTCAAGCACCATTACGTAACACCAACACAGCTTTATTTGAGACTGTATATCAAGCCTCTCTTGACAGCCAGCTTTAACCAGCACCTATTGAAGAAGCATCACATTTACTGGACAAGCAGTTAGGCTCTTCCCTAATCAGCTGCTAGCAGTAATGAATGATCTAGCATTCTTGAGCAAATACCCATTTACTACTACATGAACTCAGGGTATTAGTCAAAGAGAAGAAGTTATATACACACACAGAGGAAGATGACCTACCAGTTCATACATGAAGTCTGGATCTGAACTGCTTGCCAAGAGATCCGTGCTCATCAGAGTCTGCTCTGAAAACACATGGCTCCGAAAGGCATCCCCAAAAGGAGGGTCCATTCCACTCACACTGGGCTACAACAAAATTGATACTGACATTTGAAGCATGCTATAAAAAGGCATATTCTTTTCTTCAGCAAAACATAAAGAGTATTGCCATTTCATCCAAGCCTCTGAGCTTGTGCTGTACTTGCATCTGGAAGGTTTTTACCTACACAGATAAGCATGTCATTTCTCAGAGCGAGAGAATGCTTCAACAGCAGCTAACAACATGCAGATCTTTAATCAAAGGACACATTTGTATTCATCATATAGCTGCAACAGCATTGCTCATTCATTCTTTTTTGTTGGTTTGAAATTCTTATGCGTTTGCCAAGTTTAGGGATATGTTAGCATTTGTAGAAGAGGCAAGCGAGTACTGGCAAGATCTGTATCAATAGGCACTACACGCTTGCAGAGCCTTCACCCTAATACAAACGATTCCGTACTAGTGTTGACTGTTTCTAGAACCATAGGAACTCATGAAACTTCCACCTGAGATTGTAACAAAAGCAAAATTTATTAGAACTAAATCAAGAGTGTTATATCGCTCGAGGAGAAAGTGTAGCTTTGCAAAAAAAACATTATCCAGGATGACTGGTCATATGCAGGGAATGGGCAGCAAAGGCTTTCTGCTACATTTAATTCCAGACCTCTGTTTCTCTTCTAGACACACTCGCCCTGAGGGTTGGGAAGGGAGAAACACTGTACTGCTGAAAGTCATTCAGTGTGCTGATGTGTGAATCACTGCAGTAATAAAAGGCTGCTTCTCCAGGCATCCACCCTCGTCAAGACAACAACTTTGCTAAATCTTGCTGTGTGAGCAAATACAATACCAGAAGCAGCAACATAGCTTCCACCATAGACACTACTGGGACCCTAAAAAATAGACACCATTTAATCTCTTATAAACTCTCCCTGCTAATGCCAGTCAAATTTGCTCTTAAACTTTCTTTTCTTTTTTTTTTTTTAAATAAGGAAGCAAAATTATTTACAGAAGCAAATAGAATCATAACAGAATTTACCTGAGGCATTTCCAAGCCCAGATTCCCCAAATCCAATTCCAAACTTCTTGTTTTATTCACTTGTAGATTCCTTTCCAGCTTTACTTCAGTCTCAGTGAGTTTACACAATCCATGCAATGAAATTTTTCCTTAGGATAACTTCAGTTCACCCTGATGGAGCTTTTCTATTTGTAGATTTCTGTGTAGAATAAGCACAGCAAACCCCCAAGGAGGTAAGTAATCCTTCACCAAAAAGATAGTGCTTAAAAAACAGCCAAAGTGAAGACAAAAATTTCCCCTGAAAAGTGATTATTCCTCGTGCTGCAATGTATAGCCATTTTCTTCCCCTATCATCTTTCATCGAATGAAAAGCCACAGATGCTACAGAACAGTTCCTGTAAAAACCTTTTTGGCTGAGTTACATTTTGTTGCCTTTTTTCCTCACTACCGAGTCCACATGTTCTATAGACATAAGAAAAGAAAAAAACCTGCCTAATTGGAAATAATGACTAGCATACTACTGGGTATACAAGACAGAAACAAGCTTTATAACTAATATAACAGCCCATAAACTCTAAAAATGTCTCAGGCAAACATCTCAAAATACTAATTTCAGAATAGACAGTCGTACTGCCACAGTGATATCTCCTCCTTTTCTTAAGAAATTAATCCATACAACATCAGATAAGACTCTATCAATCACTCATATAGCAACATCTAGTGGTAAAGGGATTACAGCAAGCATGCTCACAGCCCAGCAGTGGAGGAAGAGACAGACTTCCCCAACAGAACAAATAAAAAATTGTGCCAAATTCCGAGTTGCCTAATAAAATATCTTCTCTATTAATTTCAAGTAAGGGACATGTTGAAATTAGTTCAATTTATCTATTAGTAGTTTGACCAGTTTAGTAGTTGCTATAGGCCCACTACTGCTTCAGGAGTTTATCTGTAGACTTTTCTGAGCCTCATATCCTGCTTAAGCCTGCATTTTCTAACAACGTAATGAAAAACTGAACTGTAGAAAAGCAGCACCTTAGCATGAACATCAGTAACTATATCAACACTAAAAGTATGACAAAAGACTCAGATAATAAGTAACAGGAAGTAAAAAAAGAGTTATATAGAAACAGTAATAAAAAAGTCATCCATGGTATCAAACCTTAGTATCTAGGCTAACTACATTGCCTTCAAGGATGCTGCTTTCTTACTGCCTTGCTTACCTGCAAGATCCCTACCCTTATATAAAAAGTCTTTTTAAAAAAAAAAGCAGCAGGAGCATAATAAAAAACCCGAACCATCACACATGTACAGCTTTTCAGCATTATCAGTTAAAATGTATGTGTTTCATTGAGCAGATTTCTTCACTCAGCGTTGCTCCTAAGTTAGACTTTGGTGCAATCTACTAAGGCTATACTTATTCTCTTGTTTTGAAAAACAAATAGTAAAGTAAAAGTGTTCTCCTACAACGGAGCTATGCTCAGAACCCTCCTCCCACCAGCACATGACAGCATCCCCGTGATTATTCCTACTTTCAAATAGTATCTCAGCTGTTTTGTTATATTCAGCGTATATACCATCAGACTGTGGTAAAAACAGACGCTATGCAAAAAAGCCTTTACTTAGCAAAACATAATGCTTTTCAAATAGCAGCTAGAATATAAAGAACAACAATTACAAGTGCAGTTATACGCAAGTTCTCAGTAAAACCATGCTACCAGTCAAAGCAAGCAATTCATTGTAGGGCCCTGTGTTGAATAAGAGCCAGTTCCTTCTGAGAAAATCTTCTTTCTGCTCTAAAACTTCCAGGGAACTCTTTTTACTTATCTTAAAGTGACATTTAAAGTTAAGTTTGTGTCCCAGGGCAACAAGGCTCAACAACCCCTGTCTCTCTTCACCCAGCAAAGGCCGCACCACAGCAGAACTAGTCCTGCCTATGCTGTTGAAGTGGCACAAACAACTAACTCACTTTTCAACCTGGCCTGATCTAGGAGAAAGGGCCTATTCTTCAAAACAAATAAATGATGTTCTCATATGCAAAGAAAGAGGTGGGAAGAATATAATCTTTAACACCCATCTACACCTGAGTAGTATCTACCTTTCTTTCTTTCCATACGGAGTGGCTGAGATGGATGCCTTTTTCAACAGAACATCAGATTAACACTTCGACATCAGTACCAGAGCACTACCACCTGCATTCACATGGGAGACTGTCAAAGTTCTGCCACTGCATGACATAAAGGGGAAAGGAGACATTTGCTGCTGCTTTACCAGCTATTCTTTGTTACATTTTTGTTAGAACACATACCACAAGCCATTCCACTCCCTTTCATACACAACTAGGAAAGAGGAGTGAAACTCAATCTGTACTGACACTAATTTCAGTAACAACCACATACGCTTCCAAGTGTCAGGACCAGGGAGCTTCTGGATCATTTACAGAAAACAGACAGAAGAGTTCAAAATACTTTTACCATCTCAAAGACTGGAGTAATCTTTTAGCTATGAACTTACAGTGCCATTTAAGAATGACAGTGTATGTCCTCCCAGGTCAGAGCAGTATATCAGCTAATCTGATTGTTTCCCCTAACTCTCTCTATATTTTATTCTTGACATTTTATGATTTGAATCCCATTAGAATCTATTAAAGTATTCTACAACATAAGATTTTTCTTGGTAGCTCTATGGAGGGAGGAAACATGGCGAGGCCATAAAAAGACAAGACTGCCTCAGGGAGCTGCACAATCTAGGCGTGCTTCATGCTCCCAACAAAGCAGACCTACTTCCAACTGCTTTCTAAGTTTCCCAGAATGATCAAGATCTTCATTAAAAGACTTCCAATGTTCACACTTAACTACCAGTATTTTTTCATGAACTGGTAAATCAAGATGTACAGTAGAACTCAACGACACATATGGAAGCACAGATGTAAAATCTGAACTCGCTGTGAATGAAGGTAGCTGTGAAGGAAAGTAACTTTGCAGGCCACAGCTGAAGTCCCGTTTTACAGAATTTATCATTACTGGCATTCTCAGCTCAAGACCGAGTTAGAGCAGACTAGTACGGTTGTTATGTTATCTATAATGAATACCGATTTGAATGAACTGGAAGGTCTGTTGCAGAGCTCAGGAATAGCAGTGTAAGAATTACTGAAGATAAGTACAGCAGGAATTTCTACTTTAGGATAATTTTTATTAATGCCTTACATGGGCCCTTCCCAAATGCAGAGATACAGAAGTAAAATCCTGTAGTTGCTTCACAGCAACTGAACCCCAGGTGGAATAGACAGCCCGAGGCAGGGGGCTGGGTGCCGCCACTCCTTTTGGCAGCAGCCTGCAGTTAAATCAGATTAAGGTGATTAAGGAACCAGTCCCCGAGTTGGTTCTGTATCTACAGATTCTCGAGTCACATCAGTGCAAAGCTGCACCCCTGCTCCAGGGAGAAGGCTCGCTGTTCACTTGGGTGTGAGGAAGGGCAAGACATCTCAGAAACTGCTATGTTAATCTAACATATAAGAAGTTGGGGTACTGATGGAGGCATGCATATATACATTGGTTAAAATCCCCATCAGTCATCAATAAGTAACCAAACTATAGCGTTAATAATTCATTAATCTAATGACAAATCCTAATAAAATCCTCTGCATTTATATTTACTTTTTGAAAATGCACATTTAAAATAGTTTTACAGTGGTGCCAAGACACCCAGGAAGACTGAATTTCAAACAGTCTAATGGCAGGCTTATTACGTGGCATTACTGATGCAGCAGTACAGTTAAATTGTCAGACAGCAGGACCTAAACTCAAAACATGCAGCATTAAAGAGATGCATGGCAGTTACCATGCACGTGCCACGTTCCTGGCCTAGCAAAACAGCCTTCTGCGACAACACGTTGTCTCCAAAGATGTCCCTATAAGAGAAAAACCTGAACTGCCAGCTTTCAACTTGACAACTCTGAAAGTCTTCCTCAGTCACCTGTATGAATCATTTGTACTGTAGCTATAACTAAAGTTGCTATTTCTGTCTCAATTCAGATGTGTATTTGTACAACTAGAAAAGCACGCAGAGCGTCGCTGTACCATTTTGTTGATTGTACAGTGCTTATTATCACAGCAGCTAAATGCCTGTTATAAATACATTACATGAACAATTACACTTTTCATGATGGTGACCATGCACCACGCAGCACCGTTTGTCAAAGTTACATTTTTGATGCAGGTAAAAAACCAGCACATTTAGAGAGCCTGTCAACACTAAACCTACAAACTCAGGCTAAAACATTCAAAATGCTGAACTCTGAATGCCAGAGAATGCGCAAAAACTATGCCACGTATTTTAAAAGAACCATTTTGTACTATGCAGTGTTTGCTTTATCTGGACATTTTATGAAGTACTACAGTTCGAGATGCAAGAAGATCTCCTACACTTCTTAAAACTTTTTTTCCTTCCACAGTTTGTGCCAATTTGTTTCCTATTACAGAACATACTCTAGTCTGTGCAGTCTTCAAGTGCAGAACGTATTTTGTTTCTGAGTGTAATGTTCTTGGTTTTTTTTTTTTCTTCTTTCTACATGATTCTTCAACTATGAGCCAGACTTAAAAAAATTCTTTTACTTTTCTCCCCCACCACAAAGACGCTAAGTTTTCTTTTGTGTGTGTGTGGGGTTTAAGGTTGTTTTGTTTTGGTTTTTTTTTTAGCAGGTGAGCAAGGACACGCTTGTAAAAGGTATTCCTCTGCTTCTACCCACCACAGCCTCATTCACCTGCTTATCCGAAGAACCCAAGTCCCTCTACATTCTCAGTGATGTTATTTGTATAAAAATGCGAACATAAGCATCTAAGACATGATGCCCTTTGGTTTCTCTATCCTGGAGAGCAAACAACAGCTACTTAAGACACCCAGATCCTAATCTTGATGAGCATTGCTATTTGAAAAAACTAGAGATACAAAGACTGTTTCACTTCTTTTAAGTCTGTTCCCTTCAGGAGAGGGAAACTGCTACTTCACTGTCTTTGTTCCTTTTCCTCTTCCCTTCCTGCCCTTCCCTTCCCCCCTAATATTATTTTTATAATCCTACTTGCCCGCAGCAGACAGATTTCAAGATCTGGAAGTGATACCATTAAACAGAAGTTCTGGTCTCCAACCACACATGCAACACCTCAGGTAAAAGAACTGATGAATTACCAAAGATACAGCACTGTG